GGCTGGTGGGTTTGAACCACCAGCCTTCTGGTTAGCAGTCAAGTGCCTTAGGCACTACACCACCAGAGCTCCGAATAGTCTCCTAAAAAAGGTGGTACTTTATATTGCTTGACTTCTACTTCAGATTCATCTTCATTTCACAATTTAATAGTGTTTTGAGTTTGTTGTATTTTTTCTGTGTTTGACTCCTAGGTGTTCTGCCTTTATTTTTCACAAATACAAATTTTTAAAGAGAAAAAAAAAAATTAGAAGAAAATGATACAAGAATGCAGACTGCTGCTATTAACATGGGCATGATCTCCAACCTCAAGTGGGCCCTCAGTGTGGCCTAGCAATTATCCTCTTATGCTTCTGCCATTTTCTATGAACACTGTTCATATCTTTGCTACTCTTTAAGTTCCCAATCCACCCTTTCTTCCCATCTCATACCTTGACTTCTACTTGAAAGAAAAATGGAGGCTGACCTCCCTGAATTCTTCTCTTTTGTAAACTTTATAAAAAAAAATCAACTGAAGGAAATACTGTGATTCAGTTAGACTAATAAGTATTTCAGGTGATTATAATTCACTATGGAAATGTGAAGCTCACAGTTCTTGGTAAATATCTAACTAAATAAATATTCAGTAGTCTACTCTGTATAAGGCACTACCAATATCAGAATATCTAAAGGGAATCTCTTTTAACTAGAGCAGAATCTGTAAGTAGACTTTGGGCTCCTGTAAGCAGAATGGCAGACCTAAATGGTGTGATCTAGAGTGCACCGCTCAGGCCCCGCTTTATCACTAGCATACAGATGTAAAAAGACTCTACATTCACAGATGTAAAAACAGCCCAGGATTACAAGGTTCAGTGCCAGAACTTTTTACCTTGGTCGATACAACCAAACCTTAATAGAAACTTTGATAAAATTGATACATCTATGAAATACTTTAAATGTATTTTGTAAATAAAACTTATATTCTTAGAAGATACTAAAAGAAATCTTTATAAAAAAAGGTTGAGTATTTAATTTACAAAAGATACACTTTTTCTGCAACTGAATATTCAATTAATAGGTTTGTCGAAAGTACGAATGTACCTGTGATGGACTGTATTATCCTCTCAGATTAGCAATTAATTTAAGCCCATATAGTATTCAATTAAAAGTATTCTAATACTCAGATTGTAGTTTTTTCTTATAATATTTATAGTCACTGTTACCTAAAAATTCATAATGGAAAGCCTTTTAAGGAATTTACCATTAAATTATAAAGTAATATGCTATGAAACTAATAAGGATAAATACTGCAAACAAATAGTTAAAGATAACAAAAATGTTTTAAAATGAAAAAGAAAAAGGATTAGGGAACAATGGTCAATGACAAAGATGTGAAAATGTCATTTTTAGTGCTTTAAAAAAAATTTCCTCCCGTTGATCTTTATTGTTGATAAAAATCACAGTCTTCTAAAAATTAGCTATGGAAATAAGATGATACAGTGGGTTATTACAAAACTATTCCACTCAGTGAAAAGTCACTATTCAAACTAAGGAATAATTTTGTCTTACAAAGGCAAACATTCCTACTTTTACACCTGTTATATAGCATTCAGCTGCTAACCAAAAGGACTGCAGTTTGAACCCACCAGCCACTCCACGGAAGATGAGGCAGTCTGCTTCCATAGAGATTTACAGCCTTAGAAACCCCATGGGACAGTTCCACTCTGTCCTCTGGGGTCACAATGAGTCAGAACTGATTCAGTGGCAGTGGGTTTGGGTGTATGAATACTTATCAAATACAATCAATTTTCACTTAACAATTCATCTCAGACCAACTAAGGCACCAAGTATATGAAGCACCCAATTCTGGCCAGTTTTTAAATTACTTTTTACTTTATTATTTTATACCAAAACAATTAGAAGAATCTGCACCACATAAGTCTGTAAACTTCTGTGGAAAAGAGGTATGTTTCCTGAACTGTTTAATTAAAGCTTCCATAGGATTTTATAAGGAGCCCTGGTGGCACAGTGGTTAAATGCTTGGCTGATGACGGAAAGGGTGGCAGTTCAAACCCACCAGTGTCTCTGCAGGAGAGAGATGTGGCAAACTGTTTCTGTAAAAATTTACAGACCTGGAAATCTGGGCAGTTCTACTCTGTCCCACAGCGTCACTGTGAGTCAGAATCAACTTGATGGCAGTGGGTTTGATTTGGAGTTACATCCTAAATCAAGCTTTGATTTAGCCCATTCATATTTTAAATCTTGATTTCCTTCTGAATTGTGTTATATGGAAGGGTTTTAAGTTAAAAAATAATTACAACTCATGCAAAACTGTCATTAGGTAATTTAAACCAAATGGTACAAAGTATCTTACATGAATAACACTTACCCTAAAAAAATAATTAAGAGAAAAGACATTCAGATATCCTTTGTTCTCAATATCAAGCAGTTTGAATATATATTGCAGAGCTGCAGGTTCTTTTCGGTTTTCTAATGCAAGAACAAAGTCGAGATAGGTCTTATAGTCCTATGAAAAAGAAATGACGTTTATTAGAGGCCTGAATTGGAATTAATTTTTAAGTGAATATCTGATGATTTGAGGGTATTTTGAGTACAGTGACTAAGGTATACACTGCCACTAAATTTGTATCTTCATTTTGGTATAGTCATTAAAAAAAAAAAATTATCCAGAACTAATAGAACACTGAATTTAAGGAGCCATTTTGAAACATTTTAAAATTTCAAAATCAGATGATTTCCAATAAGGATAGTTTTAAGAAAACCCCAAGTCTGCCAGATATTCTACAGTGAGCTCAAACTGTTCTAATGCAAAAAGAGGTAAAATGGTGCAAATCTGAGCTAGAAAGACAAGAAGAGAACAGATGGCTTTCCCTACATCAAAGGGATACTTATAGATTACGTCTTTTGCAGGCTGAAAATAAGCAGACTACTGGGGATTCTTAGTAAAAATCTTGTATTTTTGGAAAGAATTTTGTAGGCTAAAATAAAGAATTTTTGCATAAATTGAAGTATAAAGCATTAAAGAAACACAGCCACATCACGGTCTAGCTCCACTCACAGTTGTGGCTTCCAGTTTTCTTTATTCACAGAAAGCATTAGTATACTACAAGCGCTTCCCTGTCAACTGTCAACAGCTGTAGGAGTCATAAAGCAGTTCTGTGCCTTTTCTCCCCTCTTCATTTGAAACTGGCTAAAAATGATGTTTAGCAAACTGCTATTATAGCTAAAAGAGAAAACCTAAAACCCTGTTCTCTTCTGACAATATGACTGTTTCTTAAGCATTTGCTTTAGAAAATTTATCAGATCCTTAATACATTTTTAATAGCAAGAATGGTGATTTAAAATGTTATTTACAATTTTCTTTAAGTATGTTGCATAACAGTTGACAAAAGGACAACTGCATATCACATTATTTACCTTTCAGCTACCTACAGAGCCTCTTATATAGAGTAATACAACCTGATTCTTAGATTTAAGCCACGACAAATAAGGCACTGACATATTTAAGTCTGTACCACCTATATGAAAAGTCAACAGGATTTACCAGTTTATCAGATAATTTTTTCACTATTCACATTCCTCCACAATAGGTACATTGATAATGAACAAAGTATTAAACTTTCCTACTTACTCTGAGCCCATAAAGGAAATAAAAATTTTAAGCAAATTTCTCTTAGGATCAAAGGATCTGAATCTCAGATAATTTGATCTGTTCATATGTTTCAAGATACTGTTTATACAACCAAACCCATTGCTGTCAAGCTGATTCTGACACACAGAGACCCAAAAGGACAGAGTAGAACTGCTCCACAGGGTTTCCAAGGTTGTAATCTTTACGGAAGCAGATTGCACATTTTTCTCCTGAGGAGCAACTGGTGGATTCAAACTGCTGACCTTTTGGTTAGGAGTTGAGCACTTAACTACTGAGCCACCAAGGTTCCTTAAGATACTATTACTCACTGATATAAAAATAATATGGTATCACATCAAGAAAAGGAGGGCTTGTGGGAACTATGAGAGCCTAAATTTTTTTAATGTGTTAGGAATTTTAAACTCCTACCATTTCTCCATCATAAGTGAGACATTCTTGGAAAACACGGTCTAAGAAGACATTGGTCATAGTTGCTGTTCCATAGCGGGAGAGTTCTTCTTTACTAAGCATGCCATTGTGATCCTTATCAAGATTCAAATATTGGCCTTGGGAAGAAAGATAAGAAAAGACACTTGTGATCAAAATAAACTTGCATTAAAAAAAGACAAAAGGACAGATGTTAGCAAAAAGTTTTTTATTGGTTAATATTTTGATTTTCAAACTAATTACAGCAAGGGTAGTACTGTTACTGTAATAACAGCAACTATCCCTGCAATCTTGATCAGAACAACCATTAACCTACAAACAGTCTAAGAAAAACAGACACGAAGGCCATGATCTTTGAGCTATTTCACTTTGTAATTATCATTTCTAATTTAAAATCTTTTAGAACTTCTCCCAGTTTGGATGGAGGTTAGGAGTAACAAAAAGCACTGATGCTGGCACTTGAAAGCAGAAAAAAAGGATGGTACAAAGGAGTCAGAAGAAGCACTCAGCAAAAAACATGTAGCAGACGAACCAAATCAGTAAAAGAGCAATCCCGGCCTTAGAACACTTTCCTCTGTGGCCTGAGAGCAGAATTTTTATCAGAATACAAGCCAGTAATAGTTGATGTTCATATGATGCTCCAGAGCCAACAAGGAAGGATCACATTATATTCTGTATGTTCTATCTGAAAGTAAGAAAGTGTAGTATCTTAAAAAGAATTATAAAAAGTTTACCAAAGTAAATATGCATTGGTATTTCAACAAGCGAGCTTTAGTAATCGTGAGTACTAGATCTTAAGGTAATTAGAATACTTTGATATTAAGGTAAATTAACCTATGGGTAAGTCTGTCCTCTGAAAACCAATTAACTGAGGAATGGATAATTTATATATTTTAGCATTATGGTAAGAACATACCATAAACCCTCAGGGCAGAGGGAGCAGAAAACCAGTTTGTTTCTTGACTTTCCTTGGACAGTTCCTCATCTCTCAGCTAAATGAACAGAGAGATATAATTAGAGGATAGCTACTGTCAAGTAGTAATTAATTTTAAAAAACAAAAAACATGTTTACCTCCAATAAATCATCTAGGAAGCTGCATGCTAAAATATCTTGAATTTTTATCTTCCCTTTATAGAACATAAGGAAACACAATTACTTAATTTCAGTTTTAAAACAAGAACAACTCAATTTTAAAAGGTATTATTTTAGAAGAGGTATAATACAAATGATATTTTAAAACTTCTGAGCTCTCACGCTCTAAAGTCCTTATTCCAAGTCTGCAAGAACATTTAATAAAATTTCTCCTTGTATGATTATTTGCATACCCCAAACTCTATAAATCCAAATGACAAATCCTTTCTAAATTACAAGGATACTACTTCCAAAAAATCCTGTGTTGAATATTTTGCTAATATGGATATGACACTACTTATAATCAAACAAGAATAATGTTCATATTTTTCTGTAGAAGGTTCTGGAATAGCAAGCAGTAGAGGCATGATTAAGAGCAGACATGTGGCATGAATGCCACTTTTAGACATGTACTCTATTTAAGTCTCTGTTGCCTCATGAATAAAATGTGGAACAATTATCAGCACCTCCTTCCTGGGGTTATGAAGAACAAATCAAAGAGTCTATGTAAAATGCATAGCATAGTGCCTGGTATATGAAAAAAAGTAAAAACTGTTAGCTGTTGTTATTTTGTAAGCTGTTAAAGAGAAAAGATGTATATGTGCCTACAGTGTAGGAGAATACTGTGACGGGCCAAGCTGGATGTTCAACAACAAAAGGAGAAGTGAATCCTTTGACTTGGGCCTTCTCTTGCCCCAGTTACACATATTTGACATCTGAGTAGGTTAGGAGGTTGATAAAGCATACTGTGAATGAGGCCAAATCACTATTCTCATCCCTATTTAGGATAGTTTACTCAAGAAAGAACAAATACATCATGATTAAAAGGTTCTTATATCCCCCAAATGCATACTTTTAATCAAAAAGAGAATAATCCTTCAGCATATCACACATCAAAGGTAGCCAATTATACAATAACTGGAAGGAGCCTAATGACTGATTACCTCATTCAAATCTCTTCACTTTAGGGGTGAAGAAATTGTGATAGGTGAGATGACAGTCCCACTGTTACAGCTGGTTCTCGTTGATGCCAGTAAATGATAAAAAAAAAAAAAAGCTTAAATCTACACTAAGGCACTGTTGCTATTTTGAGTACTTTTCTACTCCTGTGAAATTCACCAGATTATTAAAGACAATGACATATTAGGCAAATAATTGAAATGACATTTTCAAGACTTTACTTATTGGGATTTAGAAATAATAATATTCTTGCAATTTCTAAGTTAGATAAGATTTTCTTTTACCTGTTCTTAGAGGGTCTAAAAAGAAGAAGAACTTCCTAACGGCAGTACAAACATAAAAAGAATAAAAGGATTTTTCCAGCCCATCTAATTGTGGCAAAGTAGGGATAAGTTCCAATATGTAATTTTCTAAATCCTGAAAGAAACAAAACAGAATATAAATTTAAAGCATCAAATGTCCAATCCTGATTCTTCATTAGCTTATTGGAATATAGTTTTAGTCCTAGAAATTATTCAGCTTTAATAGATTATTAATGATGAATAAATTCAAGACTGTATTAGTGGTGAAACTATATTGTATTATTTTTTTTTTCTAATTTACTTTTTATTTTCTGAATAAGTAATATACTACATAGTTAATTCAAAATGAATAAAAAGATATTCAGTGAAAAGACTATCTCTCACCCATTTCCTTTCACTAAAGGTAATCAAAGGTGCTCTGGCAGCATAGTACCTAAGGCATTTGGTACCCAGAAGGCTGGCAGTTCAAATCGACCAGGTACTCTGCTGAAGGAAGACTAGGCAATCTACTTTTGTAAATATTTACTGCTTTGGAAACCCAAAGGGGGTTGCTATGAGTTGGAATTGACTCAATTACAGTGAGTTTGGTTTTGGTTTTTGAGAGGTAACCTATATCATCAGCTTCTCATGCATTCTTCCAAAGGCAAATAATGTATACACAACCTATGATAAAGCAAGCACCATCAAAAATCAATGTGAACAGGATATGAAGTTTGAGTAGTCAAACTGTTTAGTGGTCACACACATCCCAGTAGCAACTGTTTAAGAATTAAGTAAAATATTTTCTTTCAATTTATGTTTATTATTTTTCAAATAGCTAGTAAGTTGTTAGAACATGAATACCGTGTAAGTCATTTAAAAAAACCAGTTGCCGAGTTCTGGCAAGATGGTGGACTAGGCAGAAGAACTGCACAGACCCTCTTCAACAAAGAAAAGGGAAACCAATTAACACAGACACAGAAGATAATCTTGGACCCCTGAGCCTTGAAGGGAAAGAT